AGCACACATAATGTAGGGGCCTTAATACTCAGAATAGGGTTTTGGGGTATATCATACTATAATCATTACAAGGAACCTCAAAAATTGCATAGGTAAGTACTAAGGCCCCCATAGTACACGCCCCTGGCTTTGACCCCGAGCCGTCAGCCGTCCAGGAAGAGACAAGCAGCCAGGGAAGATGGTCGATGCCATTCTCCGGAGCTTCCTTTAGTGTTTAGGGTTTAGGGTTTAGGGTTTAGGGTTTAGGGTTTAGGTTTAGGGCTGTAGAGTTTGGGGCTTCGGGCTTAGGGTTTAGGGGTTTGGGGGGTTAGGGTTTAGGCTTGTGCAAAATGCAGATCTCATTAGGCTGTGCTTTCTTCTCACGGCCGTCTGTGTCTTCTAGGCCTGCTTGAAGGTTTACTAACGGCTCTGATAAATACAGCTCGTCAAAGACGTAACTGAAAGTAACATCCTGCTGACCCAAACGCTAGAACCCTGCAAACCTCTAAAATCCTAGGAGATCTGCCAAACCCAGCTTCAGAAAATCTCACTTAAATACCTGCACCCTAAACCCTTGAAAGCAATACAGGGGCCTGAATAATTAGAATAGGGTTTTGGGCGCATTATACTAGAATTATTCATAAGGAGACCCCACAACCCTATTCAAACTCTTAAGCCCCTACAGTAACTATACTGAACTTAGACCCCTAGCAAAAATTATAATTCTAGCTGCTTCTTAGGGTTTATAGTAGCCAAAGATTAAAAATTATTCCTAAGTGCCCCTAGGGTAACCCCTGAAGAATTCCGGGTTTGCTGACTTCGGGTCCGAAGATTGTAGGAGAGGCAGGGTTCACGGGGTTTAGGGTTTAGGGTTTAGGGTTTAATTAGGGGTTTGGGATGGTTTGGGGGTCTAGGATGGTTTAGGAGTTTAGGGGTTTGAGGAATTTAGGGGTTGAGGAGTTTAGGGGTTTAGGGTTCTAGCATTTCGGGAGACTTGGTTTTCTCGAATCTAATCTACGGTAGTTCGTCACGGCAAGAGTATGGCATTCGCCCCGCACCCTGGACCCCAAAGTCTCGAGCGTATACAGAAACCCCGGGACGAAATCTTTGGATGCGGGATTTGGGTTTAGGGTTTAGGGTTTAGGTACTGAAGGGGTTAGGCTACTTTAGGGTTTAGGGTTCAAGGATTTGGGGTGTAGTGATTGGAGATTGTTCCGGTTGGTGGTTTAGGGTCGAAGTTTTGGGGGAGGAATGGCATCCTACATGGATAAGCGAAAACTCGTCGTTTATTCGAAGATACGAAACGTAAGTGCGCAGGATATGATGTAAGTTTGAATGCCATCATCATCGAACTACAAAACGTAGGGTCTGAGTCTGAGCTTACAAAGTTTACGGGTTTGCCAAACAAAGCGAGGGGCTGATGAAATGCAGAGGGTGGCACTGTGCAGGCGTCAAGAAGTGTCACCCTAAACTGTAAACCCTAAACCCTAAACCCTTAAACCCTAAACCCTAAACCCTAAACCGTCTCGCCACTCATTCCAACGCCTTCCCAGCCGAGTTCCATGGCCAGCTCCCAGAACCATTCGGTTCCACGCTCCGGCATATAACACTACCTTGAACTACCAAAAACCTACTTTTTTGCAGGTCCTTATTCTAAACCCTAATATAGAATTTCTAGGGACGCTACAAAAAAAAGTAGGTTTTGGTAGTTTGAGGTAAAGGGCTTCTCGCATCTTGTCATGCTTGTCCCCCGACAGCCACGCTCCGTGGCTGAAGTTCCTGCATATGCTGAGCTTGAGCGTACTCTCCTGCAGGCCGGAGTCTGTCATCGCTCGTTTGAACGTTCCAAAGCGGGTGAGCCAGTTCGCTCTCTACGCCGCCCCGAACCCGGAGCCTTGACAGGATGTATCTCCAGGCTTTTGTCTGCTGCGATTCTTCGTCTTCGACGGCTCGCGTTTAGGGTTTAGGGTTTAGGGTTTAGGGTTTATATTCAACACTGAAGCCGGCGGACACCATGGCTGCTGAACATCGCTAAACCTAATAAAAAAGTCTGAATAAGTAGCTTGGCTTAGGGTTACCCTGAAACCCTACGCTAAGCCGCCACACCCTAAGCCCCTCAACCATAAGCCGCGAACCCAAAACCACCAAAAGCCCTAAACCCCTAAACCTGAACCCTAAAGCTCTAAACCCCTAAACCCTAAACCCCTAAACCCCGAACCCTCAACCCCTAAACCCCTAAACCCTAAAGCCCTAAACCCTGAACCCTTAAACCCTAAAGCCCTAAACCCCTGAACCCTAAACCCCTAAACCCTAAACCCCAACACCCTTAAACTCTGAACCCTGAACCCTTAACCCTAAACCCTAGACCCTAGACCCTAAACCCTAAACCCTAAACCCTAAACCCTAAACCCTAAACCCTAAACCTTTCAAAAGACAAAAAGCACCCGCGCCCTGGAGAGACACCTCAAAGCCGGATCCATGGGCCCCCCATGAAGCTTGGCTGTGGGAGTCACGGTTTAGGGTTTAGGGTTTAGGGTTTAGGGTTTAGGAAACTACAGGTGGGGAGTTTAGGGTATGTATGTAGGCCTTCTTATAAGGCTTCCATAAGGTATATAGACCTTCTATAAGGCTCCTATCACGGTAACTACTCACCTGAAAAGGTGCTAGATTGGGGTTCCGAGGTTTTGTGGTTTAAGATTTTCGAAGTTAGGGCGCAGATCTAAACCCTACCTGGACCCCAAACAACCTGCCTTATTAGGGTTTTTTATTATTATGGTTTCTTTGTATAAGGCCTTAAAAGGTCGGTTCTTTGGGGTTAAGGTAAACCCTAAACGCCTCCTCGTCGTGCGGGTCGAAGCGGCCCAGGGGGCCGGGGCGCGGATCCTGCGCTCGCCCCTGGCGCTTCAGCTCCTCCACGGCCTCGCGGATGAGGTCCTGCCAATCCGGCACCTCCGCGACCTGGTAGGCGGTCTGCGAGGGGTGAAAGATGCCAAGCAGCATGGTGCCCACGCGCATGTCGTACTCCGTCTCCAGGATGTAGCGGTACATGTTCAACTGCACCGCGTAGTGATAGAAGTTGGCATCGGCATAGGCCGCAAAGGGCCGGCGCATCTGGCGGAAGCCCCACCGCTTGATCGCCTTGCTGCGCTTCCAGTCCAGGATCGCGTAGCTTTCACCTCCCGGCTCCTCGCACAGAAGATCGGCCTGCCCGGCCAGGCTCAGCCCGCAGTGGAACATGGACAGCTCCGTGCGGAAGGGCCGCAGGCCTCGGGCCTGCATGACCTCGCGCTCGAAGGCGAGGAACTGCGCGAACTCCGGGGAGTGGGGCTCGGCGATGACGCACCCGTTGAGGTGCTGCTCGATGTGAAAGTGCATGAGGGTGCCCCGCGCCGACGGGGTGCGGTCCGACCACCGCGCCTTGATCTCCTCGCGGGTCATCCACTGCCCGTCGGCATGCTTGTACACATTGCCGCGCCCCGAGCGCGGGAGCCCGGCGCGGTCGGCCGCAAACCATTTGTCGATGCAGCCGTCGGCATCAAACTCCTCGTGAAACTCTTTGCCAAAGCCCGTCACGCTCCAGGGGGCGCGCACGGGCCGGTCCTCCTCTCCGGGGTTGGTGATCTCGTAGTAGTGGGCGTCCTCGTAGAACACGATGCGCGTGTCGCGCGGAAGCGGATGCTGCGCGGCCAGAGCCTCGGTCTTGTCCTCGGCCCGGGGCAGCCGGAAGGTCGCCAGGAAGGCGGCGTCGTCCGCCAAGGCCCAGTTCCCCACCACCGTCGCATCGATGACGCGCGGCCCCGGTGCTGCGGCCTAAACGCTAAACCAAAATCCTAAACCCTAAACCCTAAACCCGATACCCTAAACCCTAAACCCTATACTGCCCTTCCAGGGCCACCAAGCCTCTGCCGCCTCTGGCCGGTGTGGGGCGTAGCTCCCGTCCTTAAGGACGAGATGAACCCTTAAAGGGCTTAGGGTTTAGGGTTCAGGGTTTAAGGTTTAAGGTTTAGGGCTGAAGGTTCAGGGTGTAGGGTTTAGGGTTTAGGGTTTAAGGTTCATATACCATGTGGGGATTCATAGTATAAGGGTATGGGGCCCCTACTTATAAAGGGTCATTTGGTCCCCAAGGCTCGTAGAAGCCCTTCCATTTGTCACGCCGCAGCCAATCGGCATCCATGGCGAAACACAAGATCTCGCGGACAAACAGGAAGGCACAAATACTAAAACAAGACGACGTTACCATTACCCTAAGGCTCAAAATAGCGCAAAAGCCTTATATAGTATGGTCTTTGGGCCCCAATCCTCAGAACATGAGTCCTTATATATAGAGCCTTTGGGTTTAGGGTTGAGGGTTAGGGTTGTGGAGTTTTAGGGCTGGTGGGCTTCGAACCGAAATCTCACGAATCCAGCTTCAGGGTTAAGTCTTACAAGTATTTCCGGGGTAATTAGGGTTTAGGGTTTAGGGTGTTAAGGCATCGATAAAGACCTACGCCGGGTTTAAGGGTCGAGAGTGTAAATGATCTCAGGAACTGCCTACAAGCGCCCGGGGGAAAAGCCAGATTGCGAGGCACACTTGGAGGTTCATGGGACTTACTACCCTAAACCCTAAACCCTATAAGTACTTGTGAGCAATTTACCTAGTGACTCTGATCCTGAGATCTCCGCACCCACAGCCCGCAACCCCGAGGGCCCAAGTACAGGGGCCTCATGGTGTCAGTGGGGTCTTTTCTTGCATGCTTTAAATGAAGACCCCGAAGGAATCCGATTACTAATTCTTCCTCGCACTATGTGAATCTAAAGCCGAAACAGCAGCTAGTAAGCTTCAAGCAGGTTTGGATCAAGAGCAGCAGAAGAGCAGTACGTTAGTGCGGTTAGAGTTCCAGGGCCTTTGGTATTTGCGCCTGGCAAAGGGTTCAATAATTACCAATACTATTTTAAGGGTGAGGGATCAAAAAAAAATTAAATCAGGATCAAAAAAAAATTAAACCACAAAGATCAAAAAACAAATTAAAACCAGGATCAAAAAAAAATAACGCAGTAGGAATGCAACAAAGCTTGGGAAAAA